TTTTTTTTTTTTTTTTTTTTTTTTCGGTTTTGAAAATATCATTTCGGTGCACTTCTAATATATATATTTAGTTGTCCAAAATAAATCTGCAAAGCAGCTGTAATTTATGGGGAAATCTAGCTCAGAGAAATGATTGTGCAGCATGGAGCTTCTGTTTCTTTATGAATACCTGACCTTTGTTTCTTTTATGTGGGCAGCAAAGTTGATACTTCAATATTGCTATAAATGCAGAGCTTGATTTTCCCCATCAGTACAACAAGTAGAAGAATTATAAATGGTAAATAAGCGATGCATTAGATAACACGTATGTACAGGTGTAGGAAGAACTCTCTTTTGCTTTCAAAGGATTTTCTGACAGGAAAATTTCTGCTATTAATATTATTATTATACAGGATTTATATTGCGCCACCAGTTTGCGCAGCGCTTTACAATATAAGGAAGACATTACAATCACAATACAATTCAAGACAAGATAGTAAGGAGGGCCCTGCCCCTGAGGCTATTAAATAGAGTCCACAAATGTCACCAGCACACCATTTAAACGTGAAGAAAATCAATTTATTGACATTAATTTAATTGTCATTAAATGGATTTTCTTCACGTTTAAATGGTGTGCTGGTGACATTTCTGGACTCTGTGACATTCACTGTGCCACCCGTGGTCATTTCAAGCACCCGCCTGATTTTTCAGCTTATTCTTTGGAATTGGTAAGTGCAACAGGACACATCTATACTTTTCTGCTATTAAAGGTTCATTATCTTTTTGTTCATGGAATAAGGAGCACTAGAGAATAAACTCAGCCTACGTTAAGCCTTACGTCTTATTACTACTACTACTACTGTGCCTAGCCCATTGCCTGCTAGTGTAATATGTGGTGCTGTAATGCCTTTGGCCTGACATAAACTTGGTATCTAGAAACCTGGTGTCTTCTAAAAGGTTCTTGTCATAGTTTGACAAAGCTTGAAATACCGTGAAAAAAAAATGAGGACATGAATGCTCTCTCACAGATGTGTTTGTCACCAGACATGTACAGAAGGGCCCGAGGTATAAAAATTGTGCGTCTGCTGAAGAACTTGGATATGAGGCAAAGTGACTGGAGCGTGTGATCAGCATCTGTGCAGGGCATCATAACCCACTTTCCTTCTAGATTAGCATGTAGTTTTTTACTGGATGTTTTATTTATTCTATTTATAATATGATAAAGATTACAGTACAGTTAAAAGCCTTTATCTAAAACCAATAATTGATTTATTAGAGCAGTTTTATGAAGCAGTTAAATTATCCTGGCCATTGTTGCACTGATAGACTCCTGACCGGCATGAACAAAAGGTTTAACTGTCTTGATATTGGCTTTCTCTAATCTCCTGCACAGCAGCACTCACAGTGGGAGAGGGATTGTCACAAATCAGCACTCGCTTGCTTTGCACAGGTATGCTTGCTGGAGGGCAGAGTATAGATATGACCCCATCAATGTTCTGCTACCCTTCTGTTGTCCTGTCACAAGTATGGTGAGTCCTAGAGCAGGTGTTATTGCTTAACTGTAGTAAGGTCTGCAGACATGTTTATGACCAGGAAATCTGAATCACAAGACTGGATGAAGTAGATCCCAAAACCTTTGGCAGGTAAACTATTTATATTTATATATATATATATATATATATAACAGTGTCGGCACCAATTCAGAGATGATTTGAGGATTACAGCCAAGTGATACACAAATAAGATACATTTTTGTTGATGGGATACTTGAATGCATTTTTTAAGTTTAATTTCTGAGTTGTGTGTTGCTTTAATTTCACATATTTTTAAGGGCGCTCGTTGCCTTGCTTTCATGCTGATCCAGGCTCTGCTGTGCTTTTTGAGTCCGTGACCTGCAGCAAGTATTCAGATCTGGTGTTCTGACATCACTCTCTTTAGTGGCTGCATACTTTAGTAAATAGGGTGAAGCGGAATTCACACTGTGAATGCTCTATCATGTATAAGAGAAATAAAAAGGGAACTTTTGCTTGTAGGTGATTGTATGACTGAAGTGAGCACAGCTTCACCGTATTCAATAAGCAAAGTAAAAAATATACTTTGTAGTGTGAAAATACATATTGCAAAGTAAACGGTCATTCTATATCACATGAATCAATCCCAGTGACTCAAAGCATAGCATCTGGGCAACCAACATTTTCTGAAGGTTCCAGAAACTGCAGTCCTCCATTTTTCTGTACAAGTATTCTTTTTTTTTTTTTTCTTTTGTAGGCAATGACAAGAATAATTTTCGAATTGATGTTAGCACAGGACTACTTGTGCGAGGCACCAAGGCTCTGGACAGAGAGACCAGCTCCTCTCATGTGTTAGTAATGGAGGCATATAACAGTGATCAAGGCCCTATGAGAAGTTCTGTGAGGGTAAGATAAGTGATATACATGTACACAGGCCTGAAAACATTTTCTTAATTCTAAGAGCCAGGTAAATATCCTGGCAAGAACTTAAAAGTAAACATGGTGT